TCGCTGAGGACTCTCTCAATTTTTATCTTCTCCTCTGCTAATGACTGTTTTGCCTCCTCTAGCTTTTGGTCCTTGTTTCCTTTACATTCCTTTTTTAGTGCATCTAATTCCCTGACCTTCTCTTCCAGTCTCTTCTCCAGGAGTTTTTCCCTGCTCTGGAGCTCTCCATGTCTCTGCTCCAGGTCAATCCAACCTCTCCTCATCGTATCCAGCTGTCGTTCCAGTTCCTTCTCTCCTCCGCACTCCTCCTCTCTCTGCCTGTCCCCCTGTATCTCTCCTGGGCTGAGCTCCTCTTCACCCTGCAGGTCCAGCTCTTCGCCTTGTGTAGGACTGTCCTTTCTGGACTTGGACTCTTTCTCCTGCAGTTGATCTTCCAGCTGGTCCCTGATCGCTGCTTCACACTTCTCTGTTTCTCCCAGTTTAGGATTCATCTCCATTTCTCTCCTCTTCTCCCCCCGTTGATGTTGCTCCCTTAGTTCTTTCTCTCTGCTGCTCAACTGCTCTACATAGTGGACTCTCACCTCTTCTTCCATCCTGTTTTGTACCTCTGTAGATCTTGTTTTCATCTCCTCCATTTCCCTCTGCAGTTCTTCATATTTCTGTCTCCATTCCTCCATCTCTTTCAGAAATTCTTCTGTGAGCTTTCTCTCTCTCTGAGCCTGTTCCTCCTGGTGTCTCTCTGCTCCTCTCCTCTGCTCCTCTCTCACCTCTGTTTCTCTCCTGCCAATCTCTTCTTCGTACTTGACTCTTAGCTCCTGTTCCAGTCTGCACTGCTCCTGTAATATTGTCTCTCTCAGGTGCTCTGTTTCCGTCTCCTTCTCCCTCTCATATCTCTGTCTTAACTCTTCCATTTCCTCCTCATGTTTCTGAGTTATTTCACTCATTTGCCTCTGGAAATCCACCCTGAGTTCCCTCTCTGTCCTTCTATTGTCTTCAACTAAACTCTCAGTCATCTTCTCAATTTGCTCTACTCTCCTGTCAAGCTCTTGTGCTGACTGCTCTTTCTCTGCCTGCATTTCCCTCTGGAGGTCATCATATTTCTGTTTCCATTTCTCTACTGTTCTTAGGTTTTCCTCTTTGTACCTCTTTTCCAGCTCCTCTTCTTTCCTAGTCTGTTCAACTCTAAATCTCTTTTCCATCTTCTGTTCTGTACGGGTCTGTTCATCTGCAGGTCTCTTCTCCAGCTCCTGCTCTCTCCTGAGCTGTTCATCCTGAAACCTCTTCTGCAGCTCCTGTTCTCTCCTGAACTGTTCATCCTGTAACCTCTTCTCCAGCTCCTGTTCTCTCCTGAGCCATTCATCCTGAAATCTCTTTTCCATCTCCTTTTTAGTACGGGTCTGTTCATCCTCAGATCTCTTCTCCAGCTCCTGCTCTCTCCTGAGCTGTTCATCCTGAAACCTCTTCTGCAGCTCCTGTTCTCTCCTGAGCTGTTCATCCTGAAACCTCTTCTCCAGCTCCTGTTCTCTCCTTAGCCATTCATCCTGAAATCTCTTTTCCATCTCCTTTTTAGTACGGGTCTGTTCATCCTCAGATCTCTTCTCCAACTGCTGTTCTCTGCTGAGCTGTTCATCCTGAAACCTCTTCTGCAGCTCCTGTTCTCTCCTGAGCTGTTCATCCTGAAACCTAATTATCAACTCCACCTCTGTTCTCCTCTCTCTTTCTTTCAGTTTGTTTTCATGCTGCTGGTTAAACTCCTCTTCTCTCTGGATCCATTCCTCCTTGTACTGCTGCTCCTTCAGTCGTATTGCTCCTTCTGTCTCCTGATATATGTTCTTTGTGTAGTACCAGCCAGCGTTCTCTTCCACCATCTGGTCAATCTTCTCCAGCAGTTGGGTAACCTGCAGCCTATCGTTCACGTTCTTGTTGTTGAGGACGTGATGCCTGTCGCCACATTTCTCAAGCAGTATCTTCAGGTCGTCCCCGGATTCTTCGACATGCTGCTGAATCGTCTGGCCCTTCAGCTCGTCCCTGTGGCTGAAAAGGATCATCGTGTGCTTCGAAGCCGCCTCCCCGAAGACGTTCCGGATCGCTTCCAGAGCGACCTCCTCCTCCGTCGTGAGTTTCCCCACCCGCACGACGAGAAGGAAAGCATGCGGCCCCGGAGAGCAGAGAGCCAGGCACTTCTCGGCCAGAGTCTTGTCCCTCGTCAGCGCCGCATGGAATAAGTCCGGGACTTCAACCACTGCCACCCGCCTCCCAGCCACCATGCCCTCTCGCTTCTGACATTCGCTGGTTATGGAGTACTCGGACTCAAACACCGAGCCTCCCAAGATCGTATTACCAGTCAAACTCTTCCCCACCCCCAGTGCTCCGAGAAGGACGATCCTCAGTTCAGAGGGGTGAACTTGTTTGCTGGAGCTCACACTGGGTCCTTTCTCCTCTCTTTTTCTCCTTCCCCCTACAGAGAAAACAGATTTGTTTCTATGTTAAATCACACCTAGAAAGCATGTTTATATATGGTGGTTAGCAATGCTTCCCTGAGGTCCTGGGTTCAATTCCTGGGGTGCTATCTGTGTGAGATCATGTATGTTACCTCCAGGTGCTCTGGATCCTCCCACAGTCCACACATATACTTTTAGATTAAATGACTTCTGGGAATATAGGCCCTACTGTGAGGGTGTGTATGCCCAGCAATGGACTGGTGTCCTGCCCAGGGTGTATCCTGCCTTTTGCCGGATTCTTGCCTGGATAGGCTCCAGCTCCCCTGTATTACATAAAGTAGTTTAGAAAATGGATGGATGTTTATTTAAGTTAATTTGTACCATGTCTGCACTCACTTTACATCTGCACTGTGTTGCAAAGAGATGATTAGTGTGAAATCAATGTGTTAACATATGGCATGTATAACAAATATAGGGTATATAAAAACACAACATATATACATTTCTTGAATATATATAACATAAAAAAATATGAGGCAGATATCCATTGTGAGTTTCCTTGGAAGATAATTTCCATACTATTTCAGCTCCGTGAAGCTGTAGCCTCAGATCCATATAACTGGGTTTCCTGCTTCTCACCGTTAACTCAACTGACAGCATCTGTCGGCCACATACGGCCAAATGCTCAAATGCTCAATTATGACTGGACCTGGAGCTGAGTAAATCTGAGTAAAGCTGAGTAAATCTGAGGAGAATCGTGACATTTTGTCCTTTGTTGATTGTTTTAAAAAATACAAGATAAAAAAAGCTGAATCTGAGAGTGTGTGCTGTGTTCAAAGTGAAAGTAAAGGCAGTTTCACCTGCAACCCATTCCCCTACAACACGATTCATCTGTCAGACAACTAACGACCAAGCTGACTGTTAAATGAGATATACGGTACCTTCAGTCGCCATCCTTTCGTATTTCTTAAAAACCAGTCACAGTGAAAAGGTTTTAGTACTGTTGAGAGAAGCTGTGACGATCTTTCATTTTTTTGTGTGGCGGATGTGTGGTTTCATCTCGCAGTCAAAGTCTTCCTGTCACGCACACAGAGACGCAAGAGAGAAAAGACGCCCTTTCACACTGGAACAGCTCTACGCCACGCTAAGGCAATCCTTCAGAAACAAATCATATTGTCTTGCACTGAATCTCCATACCGCTGAATTCCAGGAGAGGGCATCCCTGATAGTCCTATAGGACTGTTGGGTTCCTGTAGGATTTAGAGGCACAGTTCAGTTTCAGCACCTTGTTCAGATTTGGAAACCACAGCTTGATTAGACATTAAATTGGTTATCAAGATTCAAGATTCAAGATTTCTTTATCTGACATATACACCAAGTGTATTGGAATGCTTGCTCATTCAGCTGTACCCAGTAACATGAGAGGAAATAAAAACAGGCACAAATGACAAACAGACATGGACCTTACATTGTCTACAGCCAAGACAGGACATACTGTAAACAGTGCAGTACCTTAAAGTGCAGGTGCTAATTTAAGATGTTTATGGTGCTTGGGGGAAGAAACTGTTTTTGAAACTATTTATCACTGTTCTGATACTGTGATAACTCCTACCAGAACCCAGGGGTGAAAACAGATCGTGGCCACTGTGAATTGGGTCCCGAAGTATACTTCGAACCCAGTTGTGGCTTGTGTCTGAGATGGGAAGAAAGCCATCAAGAAACCTTTAAGATTAAGATCACTTTATTGGCCATATACAGTCTCTTGCATTAGGAATTCATCTTTTCACATACCCCAGCTTGTTCTCCTTGAGACACACAGACAGGGAGAGAAGCGGGGTCAGAGCGCAGGGTAGGCCATTTATACAGCACCCCTGGAGCAGCTGGGGTGAAGGACCTTGCTCAGGGGGTCAACGGAGTAGGATTGCTCTACCAGGCATGGGATACGAACTGGCAACCTTCCAACCACAGGCTCAAATCCTTAGCCACAGCACCACTGCACTGCCTAGCCCCTCCAATCCCTTTTTCCTAAATTGGAATCTCCAGGACAAAGGGAACAGTCTCCTCCTGATTCACTGTTCCAGATAATTCCAGCTGTGTTTCTGTGGGATTGAGGTGGGCACCAACAACCTTCCAACCTATCAAACACTTCCTCCATCCTTTCTCTATATGCATGTCAAGGAAGGCAGTAGGTGCTGTTTCTCTCTGCTTGCCAGCATGACGGTGAGCTCTTGCACCACAGCCAACAAAAAGATGTTGAAGAAGAAGAAGGAGGAGATGACTAAGGAGGTGATGAAGAGGCTGGAGAAGGAAGAAAATGGAGGAGGTGGAGAAGAAGAAAGGAGGAGAAGGAAAAGATGAAAGGGAAGAAAATGATTAAGTTTTCACTGTGACATTTGTTTGAGCTACAATTAAGGGTGGCAACACTTTAATCACCTGAGCCCATTATCTGCAGGTCACTGAAACCAAATGAGCTTTAACTCACCTATTACCTTAAATTATATCAAATAAATGGTTCTCCTTATTGATAGTCTTACAGGCCATGTTTTTAAAAATCATGCAAAAAACAGATGGATCTTTTGCATATCAAATTTATTTTTATGTGCTAGAAAACACTTCAACAAAGATAATTATTTTCAAAAACTTAGAACAAAATTCTAACAAACAATATTGTAAATGGATAGGAACTAGTAATAGCTCTCTTCCATGCTGCAAAGAGAAGAGAGAAAACACAACGTTTCGGCTATGAAGCCTACTTCCACACCTGAAGAAGGCTTCACAGCCGAAACATTGCAGACTGCACATGCTGATGCAGCTACCCACGTGAACTACTTATAAATGGATATTGATATTAAATATGAATATTGATATAACATTTTTCATCCATTGTTAGCTTTGCTAAGCA